CGAAATCCCCAGGTAGAAGGTAAAAGGCAAGAGTCACCAGAAGGAGTGGTTTCTTGTATACAGAACTCCTATTTGCAGTCTCATGTGGCAGTGGCCACTAGCGAAACCAGGGCTTGTCCTGATTGCGTTCAGCCAGGCCTGAGAGAGTAGACTGTTTGTTGTGTGGGGTGATGACAGTTGCTTTAGTAGGATTATGAAGCTAGTTCAAGTGGTCTGTGAGTGGTGCGTTGCAATTAGCCCGAGGAGGGTGTCGCCTGCAAAGGCCCCCTACTGTGTGGTCGCGGCTTCTCGTGTTCGAGTGGCACTTAAGAAAGCGCGCTTATTAAGCTGAGTTCAACTGTCCGGACTGCAGGAACGCCGAATAGGAGGGGGGCGTTGACGCAGCTGCTATCGGTTAGCCAGAAGCAGCTGAGAGGTCAAGCCTTGGGGACGCCAGTGAAGGAAAGCATTAGAACAGTTGTTTGTGATGACACGACTATGGGGCAGCGAGCCTTGAAGAACAAAGGGGGGAAAAATTATGACACTCCGCCACAGTACCTCCCCACGCGTGAAGATGTGTGGCAGCGAATCTGGAGAGCTCTACCCAATCTGTTCTCCAGCGCCGAGGACCGAATAACGAAGGTCCAAGAATCACTTCCATGTCCTGACGGACTGAGTGGAGCCAGGTTTTGAGTTGACCCTCTCTTGGACTTTGCCAAGTAGGTAACGGTTTCAGGTGGAGGGCAGTAGCACTGAGCTCCTGAGGTTGAAAACGAAGAACGTGTCCAAACCAACTCAGTCGTCTTTCCTGAATGACCTGGGATATCGTTGTGATTTTGTCGCAGCGAGTTCGGACTGTCTCATTTGAGACTAAGTCGGTGTACTTCACTCGAAGGAGGCTCCCCAGACAGTAGTGGTCAAAGACTTCCAGCTTCCGTTCATCTTCCACGAGCATAACCCAACCTTCGCATCAGTATAGGAGAACGGACCGGACAGATGGACGGTACACGCGGGTCTTTGTGGAGATATAAATGTCGGGTCGGGTCCATAGGCACTTCCAAAGGCTAAAGAAGACTCGTCATGATGCGTCATTTCGGGAGAAAATGTCATGTTTACTCTGTCCATTTGGCAGCAACCTCGCTCCCAGGTATTTGAAACTGTCGACTTCTTCAAGTTGACAGCCACTTATCTTGAGAGAGGCCTTCTCTTCGGTAGGGATGCAGTTTGAAAACACTTTCGTCTTCCCAGCGTTTATGGACAAACAGACCGATTTCGCGACCTCATACACCTGTGACACAATAGACTATAGATCGTCAAAGCGTGCAGCTAGTAAAGCGATATCATCGGCATAGCCGAAGTCAGTTACCCGGCGCCCGGGTGCAAGTTCAATACTGTCATTTTCCTGTAGGGCCTTCCCGAGAACCCAGTCAATGATGTGGGTAAAGAGGATGGGCGACAGAGCACAGTCTTGTAGAACGCCAGACCGAATAGCGAAGGGTTGTGAGAGGTTGTTGTGGACTATAACCCGCGCAGTGTTGGAGCGGTAGTGTGCCTTGATAATGGCGATTATTTTTGGTGGTACACCATCATGCCCTTATCCGTCATTGGACACGATGGACGGAGTCGAACGCAGCGGTAAATTCAACAAAGCAGATTACCGTTGGTTGTTGATAGCTATGGCGAAATGCAAGGATCCGTCTCAGTGTGAATATCTGATCCACACCTCCATTTCCAGCGCGAATTCCGGCCTGTTTGGGTTACTTCCTGGAGTCGCGCACAGACTGGAACTGCCTGAGTAGAACAATGGCGACAATCTTCGCAACAATATTGACGAGGCTTATGCCGCGGTAGTCCTTACATTTTGTCTTATTTCCCTTCTTGTGGACAGGCACAAGGATATCTGAGCCCCATTCATCAGGACCGGCCCCGTCTCTCCATATTTGTCGAATCACCTCATGGAGCCATGGCGCCAGAGTGACAGCACAAAACTTTTTAGATTTCAGCGGATATGGCGTCCTCTTCAGGTGTCTTATTGTTGCACAGCCTTTTTATGGTATCGGCGACTTCTGCTTCAGAAGGCGGGTCGCATGACACTGAATGAGTGAGAAATCGAGGAGGCTTTGTTGTAGATGGGAGCAGGGAGACGTTGGGCTCCGTATCAAAGTTGAGGAAGGGCTTGAAATGTTCACGCCAGTGTTCGATCTTGGTTGTTTTGTCAGCAATAAAGCTGCCATTCACATCACGAACTGAGTCACTCAGTGAAG